GGCGGGGACGGCGGCGTGCAGCCGGGGGCGCCCGCGGCCGCGGCCCCGCGGGGGCTGGGGCCGGTGCAGGCCCTTTGCAAGGCTGGCGGCGCGGGAGCTGAACAGCAGCAAGATGGCGCCACCACAAGCGAAACCTAAATGCGGTTGATTGCGCAGGGCGAAGACTGGCGCCCAATCAAGATTCGCACATTGCAGCGCATTTCTCTCCCAATCCATCCGTTGCTCTCATCTTTCCTTTGTGTCTGAGATACCACGAAAAGGCGCCGCTCTGTTTACGCCGGCAGCGGCACTCCCAGCTCTTGCCGCCAGTCCTTGCCGCGGGCAGGGCCCTCCCTCCCAGGGGTGCGGAGGGGCCACCTCTGAAACCATCGCGCCTTGCCGCACGCTCCTGCTACTCTGCTCGTCCGCTTGTTTTTGGGGGGGTCTTTCTGCCAGCTTTGTGTGTCGTCTGGCTGCCAGTGTGCTTCAACCTAGGCAGCAGTCAGTCAGAAGGGGCCTCTAATATCTGAACTGCGCCGCAGCCTTGTGATGCACGCGATTCGCTGTCGCCGATGAGTCGCTGGTGTGCGGCACCACTCATGACAGGCTGTGGCCGGGCTGGCCGGCCGGGGTGCTTTGGGGCTGAATAACCTCGTCTCATGCCTCCTTTCCGTTAGCTTCATGGTGTGGGTGCCTTCGTGCATGAATCGACCCTGCTCGGTCCGCCGGCCCACACACCAGCTGCGACGCCCACCCACCAACACTCACGAACAGCCGCCGAGCCGTCAGCACCACCGGTCGCCTGCGCCTCTTTCTAACCTGCCCAGGGAGTTTGCGGCCACGGATGTGTGAGCGTGCGTGCGCCGCGGGGTGTGCAGCAGGGTATATCCATTTATCCGGTTATGGTACACACAACTTGGTGCGTCGGCTACACACGCGCACGCAGCGCCCAAACCCACAGCAACGGCCGTCCTGCCGCATCAACACGCGCCGGCGGCGGCCTCTGTGGCGCCAGCACAACTTTGCCTTTGCTTTGTTGGGGGCCCGTAGGCGTCGCCGCTCCCCGCAGCTCTCGGTGTGGGATCGTGGTCGATTGTTCTCTCTGAACGCCCCGCTCTTTCGCTCCGCCGCCCCCCGCCTGACCAGGCTTCACCGCCTCTGGCCAGGATCGCCCCTCACACTTCCTGTTGCCGAACCCGCATGGCGCGTACAGCAGCGCGCGTGCCCGTCTGCTATTTCTTGCGTGCTTGCTGCTTTGTTGCGCATCGGCGCCGTCACGGTTGCCGACACACCGCGTGTCGCTGCCCACTTGGTGGGTGCGCGCTGACCCCGCGTGCTGCTGTTGCGCAGCCATGCTTCTGTCTGCTCGCTCATCGTCACTCTTATGCTCCCCTGTCGATCTTGATTATAGGCAGACGCCTGTGCGCCCTGCGCCAACGCCCTCCTGGCAGGCGCTTGGCTGCCTTGACGTGCAACCTATGGCAGCGGGCCTCGCCTGAGACGAACTTGTTGCTGTGTGCAGTGCCACGAATGTTGGTTGGTGGTGGTTGTGCGCGCGGTGTTTACTCTGCGCGCAGTGAATGCACCACGTTGTGCATTGCTTTTTAAACGTGAAAGAAATTTCCTCTCATGTTATTGCGGCTGCGCAAATCCGGGTGCTTGTGCCCCCTCAACGCCCGTGCAGCGCCACACGGTGCCAGTATGAAGCTGTGAGCAAGCAAAGTTGCAGCTTCCAGGCAGCTATCAGGCGAGTTCCCAGCGCATTTCAATTGCGAGTGGGAAAAGGTTAGGCATGGCACTTGCGGGATTGAGAACGGCAGAGCACAGTTGGAGCTTGCAGCAAAAAAGGGTGGAACCCATTCGTGACAGGCAACGGCAGGTGTCATGCACCACTAGCCTCAAGCGATGGCCTTGGCTCCATGACGCCAACCAAGGAGTCACCATAGAGGATGCAGAATGCGCTGCGTACCCAGCGACATTCCTGCAGATACACACATCATACATTATCGATGGGCCCCCAATCAAACGCGCTCGCAGCCAGCGCAGCACCCACAAGCGCCGCAGGCGCAGCCGTAAGCCGCAGCCACAGCCCCAAGCTGCAGCCGCAAGCCGCAGCTGCAGCCGCAGCCGCAGCCGCAGCCGCAGCCGCGGCGTCGCGCCCTCCTCTCGCGCGAGCCCCGTGGGCCCCGGCCCCCTCAGCTGCTCCGCCGCGCCAGCTGCCCCCACAGGTGCAGCACCGCCGCCGCGAGCGCCTCCAGCTCCCTCGGCCTGTGCAGCCGGTGCTCCGCGTCCTTCAGCACAGTCATAGTGACGTCATCGCTCGCGAGCTGCCGGACCAGCCGCAACGAGCTCTCCAGGGGCACCACTTTGTCCCTCGAGCCGTGGAGGATCCGCACGGGGCAGGCCGCCTGGACAGACCCCGGCTTGGTGGGCAGCGCCAGCCGCCGCCCCTCCCGGAAAAAGTGGATCTTCACCGCCGACGGCCCCTGAACCTCGGTGTCACAGTCGATCAGCCCCGACTCGATCGTCGCGGCCGAGCCGCCGAGCAGCGCGCGCTGCTGCGCCGCAGTCAGCAGCGCCCACGCGCGAGAGTCGAGCTCCAGGGCGGGGGAGGCAAGCACCAACCCAGCCACCTGGGCCGGGCGCTCCGCGGCGAGGTGCAGCGCGAGCAGCGCGCCGTATGACGATCCTGCCGGGGGCGCGCGCGCGGGCGGCGACGAGCACAGGGTGCGCTTTGGTGGGCTCTGTCGAGACATGCATTGCTGTGTGGCAGGAAGGTGTTCTGCGGCCACGACTCCGTTTGCACACGCGGCGGATTTCAAGGCGCGTGCTGCAGCGCCGCGCGGCGCGGCGACCGCCCGATTGCAGGGCCTGGCGCCGCGCACCTACGAGTATCTGGGGCCTGTCTGTCAGCTTGTCCAGCACTGCACGCGCGTCTTCCAGCCACACCCCGGGGTGCGTCTCCCCAAACTGCTCGGGCCCGGGAAAAGACTCGCCGTGGCCTGGGGCGGGGCGGGCGGGGCGGGGGAGGCATGTTGCGGCGCGCGGCGTCGTGGACGCATGACGCTGCGTGTGTGCAGGCCCATGTGCTGCGGGAGCGTCGCTCATTTTCAGGGGTGGGCGCAGGCGTGGCAGGGACATCGGCCGCACAGGGGACGGGGCCCAGCCCAGCCGCGCTCGATATGCGGCGGCGCCCACCAGAGTAGTCAAAGCGAATGAAGCCGCTGCGCAGTCGCTGCTCCACCATTCTTTCCAATGCCAGCGCTTTGGTGCTGGGGTGGGCGGCGCGCGGCGCAGCGCGTGGGCGGGCAGAGGATGAGTCGGGTGCGTGCGGCCCCTGCACAACCTGCTGCTGCAGGGATTTGGGCCGCAAGCATGTGCGCATCATTTCAGGGTGCAGGCGGCGCGGCCAGCGGGCGCTGTCCCTGAGGCCGTGACATGCGCGTTGGGGGGTAGGCATGGTGTGGGAGGAAACGCGGCGCGCGTGGCCCCGCACCCGTCTTTGCTGGAGCCGATCCCGGGCAGGTACACGACTCCCGGCCCCAGCGTCTTCGATGGTCGGTGCACATGCTTCACCACCGCCAGGCGCGCCGCGCCGCCGCGGTCAAGGAATGCTGGCTTGATCGGATCCGCCGTCGCCACTACCATGCTTGTCCCCCGTGTGTGCAGCCGGGCGAGTCGCTCGGCTGAAGCTCGGTCCTGAATGCAAAGTTTTTGGATCTGGGTTGTGCTGACATCGAGCAAGCCCCAATTCAATCAGAGTGCGGCATGCTTTGTCGCGGGGTGTGTAGTAACCTGGTGACGCTTCCGCCCATTTCGAGAGTTCCCTCGCGGCATGGAGCGTGCAGATAATGGCACACTTTTGTGTTTCAAAGTGTTCGTTGTGGAACTCGTGTGGTCCTGGGCTTGCGTGGCTGAGCAAGATCGCGTCCTCCGGATTTGTTCTGATTTTGCAGCATGAGACCGTCTCCGGTATGATGCCAATGGAAGCAACATACTAAAAAATACCAGGAAGAGCATCCGCCATGCAGGGGGCGGAGGGCATTCCGAGGAAGGAGCACAGCAGAGACCGTTTGGACGGCCTGCGTACGCGCTCTGGCTACCAGTCGCAGCTTTCAACATCGCAATGGATGGCCTGGGCGTACCTTGGGTGAGCATGCTGTGCATCCACACTGCGGCATGTCAAAGCGTCCCTTTCGCAGCGGGAGCGGCGGCCTGATACGCCATCTGCAAGCGGATCACCCTTGCGCCGGCCCCTCGGGTCGCGGCCGCCGCCCAGCGCCTCCCCGGACGCCGGATGCGTGCCCTGGACTGCCGTCGCGCCCGCAGGTGCATCCTGGTGTCGTTCAGCGCGGTCAGCAGCCTGCTGGCAGCTTGGGTGCCGCCCGATCCCGCCCTCTACCAAGAATTGTATGAGGAGGTGGGGCCCCGGCCGGTGACGCTCAGAGTGACGCGTGGATGCCGGGATGCGGGCGCGCCAGCATGCGCTGACCGAGAGCGGCACAGAGAGGCGGTTTCATGGGCTGCAGCGGGGGAGGGGCGGGGGGGGCGGGGGCGCCTGATGGCGTGGGCAGCATGAATGAGGCATGAAGGGCGTCTGGCGGCGACGCCGTAACTCGGGTGACACCGGGTTGCGAGAAGCTGAGATTGGGCATTCACCGCGGCGTGCGCAAGCTGCACGCTTGGGGCGCTGCGTCCAGAGATGCGCAGGTTGCGCTGGCGCGGGAGGGTCAAGTGCGACGCTGCGCAGGGCAGCGGCTGCTTGGGCCCCCGCGGCGCACGGTCGCTCGCAACCGCCCTGGCGGCTGGCACGTCGGGCGAGGGCGAGCGCCGGAAACCGGCGCAGCGGGGTCCTCACGCCAGCGAGAGCAGGCAGCGGCGCAGCGCGGCGCGGCGTGGCAGCGCAGCTGCCGAGCCTGCGGGCGGCCCCGGCG